TTTCTGAGCCCTCACTAGAATCTCCTTCAACACCTGTGTTTCTACCAACAGTCTCTTCGAGGCAATCTAGGCTTGTTCTGCCATGCATCTCACAATTTCCCAGTCTCTACTCATCAGTCTATTCCAAAGCCTCGTCTACATTTTTAGGTGTTTGTTACAGCAGCATTCCACATTCCAACCACAAAATCAGTGTAAGTTTCCTAGAAATTCCATAACGAAGTACTACCAGCTGGATGGCTTAAGAAACATAAATTTATTGCCTCAAAGTTCCAGGGGCAAAAACACAGAGATCAAGATAGCAGGGTTGGTTCCTTCAAGTGGATATGAGAGAGAGTTTGTTCCATGTCTTTCTCCTTGCTTCCGGTGGTTTTTTGGCGATCTTTGATGGTTCTTGGCTTGTCAATGCATCACTCTGATTTTTGTCTTTATCACATGGTATGCTTCCTAGGTTTCTTCACATAGTCTTCCCTCTCTGCAACTCTGTCACCAAATTTCTCCATTTGTATAAGAACACCAGTCATATTGGATTAGGACCCACCTTAATGATCTTATTTTAACTTATCTCTGTAAAGATCTTATTTCTAAATACGATCACATTCTGAAGTACTGGGGTTTGGGATTTCAACATATCTTTTTTTGGAGACACCATTTGATCCGTAATACTCAATAAATTATAAGCATTTCCAGCCAGGTGTGGCAGCTCACACCTGTAATCCCAGCACTTTGGGAGGCCAAGGTGGCCAAGACCAGCCTGACCAACATGGCGAAATCCCATCTCTACTAAAAATGCAAAAATTAGCCAGGTGTGATGGTGTGTGCCTGATATCCCACTACTCAGGAGGCTAAGGCAGGAAAATCACTTGGACCCACAAGACGGAGGTTGCAGTGAGCCAAGATCACATCATTGCCCTCCAGCCTGGTCAAAAGAGTGAGACTCTGTCTCAAAAAAAAAAAAAAAAAAAAAAAAAAAAATTGGCCAGGCGCAGTGGCTCAAGCCTGTAATCCCAGCACTTTGGGAGGCCGAGGCGGGTGGATCACGAGGTCAAGAGATCAAGACCATCCTGGTCAACATGGTGAAACACCATCTCTACTAAAAATACAAAAAATTAACTGGGTATGGTGGCACGTGCCTGCAATCCCAGCTACTTAGGAGGCTGAGGCAGGAGAAATGCCTGAACCCAGGAGGCGGAGGTTGCGGTGAGCCGAGATTGCACCATTGCACTCCAGCCTGGGTAACAAGAGTGAAACTCCGTCTCAAAAAAAAAAAATTATAAGAATATCCTAGAATAAGTCAAGATTTTCAAACACAGGTTAACATATCTTCTAGTTAAATAAAACATACATTTGGATTGTTATATATTTACTAATGAGTCCATTCATTTAGTATTTATTGAATTCCTGCTATGTGTTGGACATTCTCTAGCATCATGGAGTTCTGAACTTGGATGAGAAACAATTTACATCATTTCTTTTATTAACCTCTAAATGAAAACTACCAATCTTTTCTGATATGGATGTCGGTAACAAACCACAGTAGTGTTAGCGGGACCTGTAACTTTATTACACAGAGCTTTTTATGCCATATATCACAGACCTTTTCATATCACACAACAGTTGTAGGAGAGACTTCAGTATATGGTTTATGATCTTCACCAACTTGAAATTATGAATGATGACAAGTTTTGCTAGATCTTAAGTAGTCCCCCCTCTTTTTTTTGAGACAGGTCTGGCTCTGTCACCCAGGAGTGCAATGGCATGATCTTGGCTTGCTGCAACCTCTGTCTCCTGGGGTTCAAGGGATTCTTTTGCCTTAGCCTCCAAAGTAGCTGTGACTACAGGTGCATGCCACCACACCTGGCTAATTTTTTATTTATTCTTTTTTTTTTTTTTTTTTTTTGTAGAAATGAGGTTTTGCTGTGTTGCCCAGGCTGGTCTCAAACTCCTGGGCTCAAGTAATCCACCTACCTCAGCCTCCCAAAGTGCTGGAATTACAGGCTTCAGCCACTAGGGCTAGCCTGCTCCAAAGAAAATAAAACAAGATAATGTGTTCATAGATAGACACATATATTGTTACATCAAACTTTAAAAAGAATTTGGATTACTACATAATTCTTTTAAAAAACTGGCCAGGCGCGGTGGCTCAAGCCTGTAATTCCAGCACTTTGGGAGGCCAAGACGGGTGGATCACGAGGTCAAGAGATTGAGACCATCCTGGTCAACATGGTGAAACCCCGTCTCTACTAAAAATACAAAAAATTAGCTGGGCACGGTGGTGCGAGCCTGTAATCCCAGCTACTCAGGAGGCTGAGGCAGGAGAATTGCCTGAACCCAGGAGGCGGAGGTCACGATGAGCTGAGATTGCGCCATTGCACTCCAGCCTGGGTAACAAGAGCAAAACTCCGTCTCCAAAACAAAAAAAAACCCCAAAAAACAAAAAACTTTAAACTGTATACAATTTTAAAAAAAGATTTTGGGTCATTAAAAAATTTTGGATAATTTCAAGATAATTGATTTATTTTCTTAAAATCTGTGTATTTTATTTTACTCATTTAGCAGTGTTGTCCTGAGAAGCGTTCATCGGGTTCACTAGATTCTTCAGAAGTTTCATCACACAAAAAATGATTCAGAAACATTATTCGAGATGCTGGAAATAAGGTAGCAAACAAGTCAGCGCAGGTCCTGCTTCCACGGAACTTATCTCGGGGCATGAGGAAAGAGGAAGATGACAAACAATAAACAGAGAATCAGCAGAGTTTTAGGTAGTCATAAGGGCTGAGTATACAACTCATACACGCGTGCACGCATGTTTATGTGTGTGTGTCTGTGTGTGTGTGTATGCTTGCCTGTATGTAGGAGAGTAGGAGCAGTAAGAGAAACCAGCTTATGTACAGCATGTAGACTAGTATAATAAGTTTCAGTTTTATTCTAATCACATTGTGTGTCCATCAAAGATTTTTTTAATTGTGATAAAATACACACAATGTAAAATTTATCATCTTAATCATTTTAAGGTACAGTTCAGTGGCATTAAGTACATTCACATTATTGCGTAACCGTTGCCACCATCATCCATGAGACTTTTTATCTCGCAAAACTAAAGCTCTCTACCCATTATCCAACAACCCCCTTCCCTTCCTCATCATTGGAGCAGTAACATGATGTGTTTGACATTTTAAAAGCATGACTTCATTTAAAAAGCATGAAGACAATGTTGCTAGGCAAGAATAGAAGTGCCAACAGGAAACCAGTTAGGAATATGGCAGACGAGAGGTGACAGTGGATGAACTGTGGTGTTGACAGGAAATGGGTTTGAAACGGACTTTGGCAGTAAATCAGACGGGATTAGACGATGGACTGGAACAGGTGTGGTGGAGGACTTGGGTTCTGTTTAGGACATGGTAAGTCTGAATTGCGTCTTTGTCATCCAAGTGGAAGTCTCTCACAGTTGGGTAGACAAGTCAGGGTTCAGGAAAAACAACAATATACTGCGGAGTCCTGGGCAAATGAGTGGTATTTGAAGCAATGGGAATGGATGAGGTTATCCAGGAAGATCATATGGATAAAGAACAGGCCCAGGAATAATCTCTGGGGCAGTCATTGTTTGGAAGCCAAGTTGAGAAGAAGAGAACTTTATGAGTGGTTTGTCCAATCTTACGTAGAGAACTTAGTGCTGTAGGAACTTGGATCTAGGCTCGGACAAACAGACAAAGCTACCAGTTGAAAATTCCATCAAACTAGTCTTAGCCAATGAGAGAGGGGCAATCTCATCTTCTAATTTACATTTAAACCTAGGACTTCTAAGATGGCACTGGGATGGGGGAGGCAAGACAGCATCACAGAGAAATTGTTTTATTATTATTTTATTCTTTATAATTTCAACCTTATTTTAGATGCAGGGGGTACATGTGCACGTTTGTTGCACTGGTATGTTGCATGATGCTAAGGTCTGGGGTGTGATTGATCCCATTATCCAGGTAGTGAGAATAGTAATTCAATAGGTAATTTTGCAAGTCTGGCCCCTTTGCACCCTCCCCTCTGTCATGGTCCCCAATATCTCTGTTCCCATCTTTATGTCCACGAGTACCCAACGTTTAGCTCCTGCTTATAAGAGAACATAGAGTATTTGGCTTTCTGTTTCTGAGTCAATTCATTTAGGATAATGGCCCCTAGCTACGGCCATGTTGCTGCCAAGGACATAATTTCCTTCTTTTTTTATGGCTGTGGAGAAATGAATAATTTGAAAGCATTCAACAAATATATAAGTGGAATTAACATAATATTAACAAATCAAAGAGGAGGTAAATATTTCTTTGCAGAAAATCTTTCAGTAAGTATCTTTTGTCATACCAGAAATTAAGGATGTTAAACATACATTTAAATTTTATCTGTCATACAATATACTATTTTACACATATTATGTATCAATAGCTATTTAATTGGTTGATCATGTAAGGTTTAAGAAGTGGTCCAAAATCAAGTTTGAAAAATTATGTCATTTTTATGTATGTATGTATGTTATTTTCTTGGTTCCAGTAAAAAAAATTAATGTTTTTCAGTGGTCCTTCAGTATCTAATAGTTTATCATCTCTAAATGTACCCTTTGAAAAATAAATTTTCCAACATGAGGTATAATATTACTTAAAATTCATGCTGTTCATTTATTCAGTTGTCACTACAGCCTGACCTCTTGGGTAGGATTTTAATTAATGAGTTATGAAAATGTTGAATGTCATTTGACTTGTGATTTGATGCTTTTAATAGTTTGTGGTTTGCTAATTATTTGGAAATCTCTCACCCCTTTGTTCTAGAAGAAGCACTCTGGTTTCTGCATGTGTTCCTCTTTGCCATACTCAAACATTTGGGAAATGGAAATAGGGAAGCAGCAGCTTCTTAGAAAAACTGTAGATGAATGGAACAGGAACTGTGAAGTTAGCAACATGTAAGAGGAACTGTCGATCTTGTCCATGATTGCTTTGGCTTATTTTCTCTCCTTTTGCTAGGAGACCTGTTCTGATGATGTGTGTGGTCCTCACCACACTGCCCTGCCTCACCTTTTCCATAGCAGTGACTGAGGTATGGAATTTTGATTTCTTCTGCTACAAGATTCTGAAATTTTATAATTTCTTGTTATTGGAATTTGATAGAGCAGAATGCTCAATAAGTTTCTTGACATTTATGTAATCCAGTCTTCCAGGTTGCAATATATGTTATTTAAAGTACTAAGATCGTTTTTACCTCTGTGATTGTGAAGGAAAGTCTAATAGCCAATTTTTAAAAAATTACTTTTGTGTTTGTGTGTATGAGATAGAAATGAAATCTGAACATTTAAAAAGTGAAAACTTTGAAAGGTGATTTATATTTGTTTCTTCCGTCCACCCGATGTTTCTCATGATCATCCCCAATTCTAAATGAATACAACACGATCTAAGGGAAGGACCACTTATATTGTAACACCTTGATAAGATGTCTATTGATAAATAATTTGCATGTGTTATTTATTTGAAAATAATGCTGAGTTTATGTTTTGACCAAATATAGCTTCACGAGGTCTTGGATAGACACCTGCAGGGCAGGAATATTTTAGGCAGAATTTTCAGGCTATGAGCACTTCATTATCCAAGGTCAGAGAAGAATGCCCCACTAATCTTATTAATTTGCAAGGTGCTCCGAAAGATAATTTTAATTTCCCCAAAGCATACTTAATTTAGTTAAATTACTTAATTTACCTTGTGTTGATATTTCACTTATTTGTGAAGCAAATATTCACTAAGTGTATATTACAGGCCAGGCACTATTAGGTACAGGGGATAGGGGCCTTAGGAAATATGGCAGAGTCTCTGGTATAATTTTCTGACAGAGAGAAAAAGAAACAGACAATTAGAACAAGTATCACCAGTGTTATGAGACAGGTCAGTACCGAGTAATGTATGAGATTAGAAATTACATGGTTGTTAGAATGCATCATGGGTGCTACTAGAATCCATCATAAATGCTACATTAGGACAATATATGAATGCGTGAAATAATTTTGGGAGATCATATAGGTGTGCTTTGCATCAAATGAACTGCAACAGATGAATATTTCTATCTAGATCTGTCTTTTCCCCTCCCAAAGACTTGTAAATCACTTGGAGTGTTCCCAAAAGCTATAAAAATTCTGTTTACAACCTTTCAAGAAACATTACTGCAATAAACGGATGGCACATCTGGAGCATCATAGCCCTTTTTCGTTCTATTTTATGATGTCTCATCCATCTTCCCTTCCCTCCTCTCCCTTCCCCTCCCCTCCTCTCCCCACCCTTTCCCTTCTTCCCTCCCTCCCCTCCCCTTCCCCTTCCTCCCTCTCCCCTCCCCTCCCCTCGCCTTCCCTCCCCTTCCCTTCCTTCTTATTTAATTTTCACCAAAGTATAACATATATAACACATAAAAAGTATAGTATCAATGGAATACCACAAGGCAACCCCGAGGTAAACATTGCTCAGGTCAAGGTCAAGAAGGAAACTTTGGCCAGCTCCACACCAATGTTCCTTTACTGTATTTTATTTTTGTATAAAAAAACCATGGCTTGCTCTTTGCTTTTTTTTTTAATGACTCCCTTTCCCTCCTTTCCAGAAGTCACTTCTTACTTGACTTCTGATACTGCAGGCTAGTTTGTTTTTGAACTTTTTCCAAGGAGAAATCAAATGATATCTGGCTTCTTTTATTTAAAATATGGTTGTGAGGGTCATTCGTGTTTTTTTGAATACCGGAAGCTCATTCAGTTTCAGCATAGAGTATTTCCTTATAAGAAAAAATCATAATTAACTTATGTTCTACTCTTGGTTGCCATCTTGCTTGTTTCCGGTTTTAGCAATTACAAATAATGTGGCTGTGAACATCTGCGAAGATGTCTTTTGGTGTGTACGTATTTCTGTTGGTTACATATGCAGGAGCAGAATTGATGAATCATGAGATACTGAAATGTTAACTTGTGAGAGATAAGCTCAAACAGCTTTCCAAACAGACTGTACTGATGTTTATAGCATCTCTATAGAACTCAGCAGCAGAGAAGGAGCATTCACCACTGCTTGGATTGTGTCTTTTTTTTTTTTTTTGGAAACGGAGTCTTGCTCCCCAGTCTGGAGTGTAGTAGCACATACAATCTCTGCTCACTGCAACCTCTGCCTCCTGGTTCAGGCAATTCTCTTGCCTCAGCCTCCCTAGCAGCTGGGATTACAGATGCCCACCCAATACCCCGTTAATTTTTGTGTTTTTAGTACAGACAGGGTTTCACCATGTTGGCTGGTCTGGTCTTGAACTCCTGACCTTAAGTGATCCACCCGCTTCTCCCAAATGCTGAGATTATAGGCATGAGCCACCACGCCCAGCATCATCGTGTCTTTTAATTTCAGCTCTTCTGGTTGGTGTGATTCTGAATCTCATTGTAGTTTAAATTACATTTCTCCAGTAATTATCAAGGTTGAGCATCTTTTCATTGTGCCTATTTTTTTTTATTGTGTTGCTTGTTTTTAAAAAATCTATTTGGAAGACTTATTTTCATATTCAGATTATACAAGCCCTTTTTGATTATATGTATTGCAAATCTTTCCTCTCTGTAATTTGTCTTCACACTTTTATATATTTTTGATGAAAAGAAATTCTTAACTTAAAAATAGTCCAATTTATCTATTTATTTTCTTTATGGACAGTGCTTTTGGTCCCTCATAGAAGATTTTTTTATTGTGAATCTGAACTTCAAAGTCTTAAAATCTTTCCCTAAATATTTTAAATATACATATATGTACAAGTATGTATGTGTGTGTATGTGCATATATACACACACATATACCTATATATTTGTGTGTGTGTGCGTGTGTGTGTGTGTGTGTGTGTATATATATATATATACATATATATATGTATTTTTTTTTTTTTTGAGATGGAGTGTTGTCCTATCACTCAGGCTGAATGCTGTGGTGCGATCTCTGCTCACTGCAATCTCTGCCTCCTGGGTTCAAGTGATTCTCCCCTCTCAGCCCCCAAGTAGCTTGGACAACAGATGTGTGCCACCACACCTGGCTAATTTTTGTATTTTTAATAGAGACTGGGTTTCACCATGTTGGCTAGGTTGGTCTCAAACTCCTGATCTCAAGTGAGTCACCTGCCTTGGCCTCCCAAAGTGCTGGGATTGTAGGTGTGAGTCACCGTGTCCCACCTCCTAATTATATTTTGAAGGCTCTATTGTTTCTTCACTGTTTTTTAGATTCTCGACACCCCCGGAACTGATTTTTGTATGTATTGTGCAGCAGTGAGTTAATTTTTTCCCCGTATAACATTCAGTGGATCAGCACCATTTATTGGTCTGTCCTTCCCACGTTTCTCTGCTGTGCCACCTTTGATATAAATCAAGTGCAGGTATACATAATTCCTGTGCCAACACCACACAGTCTTAGTTATTGCGGCTTTATACTGCTTCTTTACATCCAGAAGAGTAAATCTTCCTAGCTTGTTCTTTTCTTCTAGAATCTCCTGCCTTTTGTATTTCCATTTAAATTTTAGTATCAGCCTGTCCTTTTCCACAAAAAGTTAGAATATTGATTGAAGTTGCATTGCATAGTATCATTTTAAAAAAATTCACATATTTGAACTCTTTTGTCTTTGGTATTTAGAAATAATGTATCCATTTGGGGGAGATTTTCTCTATGGACAATCAAATAGTCTGAATAATTGTATTTTGTTTTTCTTCTTTCCAGTATTTACACTGTTATTTTTATTTTTGAGATGGAGTCTTGCTCTGTGGCCCAGGCTGGAGTGCAATGGCGTGATCTCAGCTCACTACAACCTCTGCCTCCTGGGTTCACGTGATTCTCCTGCCTCAGTGTCCTAAATAGCTGGGATTACTGGCATGTACCACCATGCCTGGCTATGTCTTTTTTTTTAGTTTTTTTTTTTTTTTTTTGAGACAGAGTTTCACCAGGTTGGCCAGGCTGGTCTCAAACTCCTGACCTCAGGAGATCCACCCACCTTGGCTTCCCAGAGTGCTGGGATTACAGGTGTGAGCCACCGTGCCCAGCCTACACTGTTAATTTCTTTCTCTGGCCCAGTACCCTGGCTAAGACCTCCAGGACAATGCTGAACAGAAATGGTCACGGTGGCAACTTTGTTTCATTGCTGATTTCTGAGGGAAAACTTTCAATCTTTCATCATTAATACAGTGCTTGCCATAGTTTTTTGTTATTGTTGTTTTTGTTTCTGTTTTTTGGTGGGGCAGGGTCTTGCTCTGTCACCCAAGCTAGAGTGCAGTGTCACAATCATGACTCATTGCAGCCTCAAGCTCCTGGGTTCAAGTGATCCTCCCACCTCAGCCTCCACTGGAACCAAAGGTGTGAGCCACCACACCCAGCTCATTTTTAAATTTTTCGTAGACATGGGTTCTGGTGTTGTTGCCCAGATTGGTGTCGAGCTCCTGGGCTCAAGTAATCCTCTCACCTTCGCCTCCAAAAGTGCTGAGATTATAGGTGTGAGCCACTGCACCTGGCCTTGCCATAGCTTTTTGTAAATACTTTAGGCAGATGAAGGAAGTGTTCCAAAGTCTAGCTGGAATTATCTGAGTTTCGCCTTCTTGGAAGACCCTAAATGTTAGTATTTGTCCCCCTAGCTCTTTGAGGCTGGATTCTTTTTTTTTGAGATGGAGTTTCACTCTTGTTACCCAGGCTGGAGTGCAATGGCGCGATCTCGGCTCACCGCAACCTCCACCTCCTGGGTTCAGGCAATTCTCCTGCCTCAACCTCCCGAGTAGCTGGGATTACAGGCATGCACCACCATGCGCAGCTAATTTTTTGTATTTTGAGGCTGGATTCTTAGAAGTTCTGCTCAGCAGTAGAGTTGGAAGGAGTTACCCCTTCAATGTTATACCGAGTCCACTACTATATTTCTGCATACATTTACCAAAGTCTGTCTTTAACTGAAAATATGCTTCCATTGATGTGATTCCTTATGACAGCTTTAGAAATGGTTTGAAACCTTGTGGAGTTTAAAACCTGACGAGCTCAAAACCTTCTAGTTTTTGAGTAAATGTAACTATAATTAATTTAGTGCTGCATTCAGACTGTTGAATGCATTTTGAATTAAATTATAATGTAATGCTTCTAAATGGTTTTCTCTAAACAGGTTCAAAAGAGCATTAATGGGTCCGCTGATGTCTTACCTGATATGTTACCTGACCTGCCGGTATCGTTGGTTCTGTCATCCCTGATCATGGTTGATATTATTGAAAAACTCAGGATATATCCTCTTAGAGGGTATCAAAAGAGTAAGTGTTCTTTTAAATATAAATATTTTTTAGAAGTTTGATATATCTTTTACCTTTCTGCCACTCTGTTATCTGACAGCAGGTTTAATGGTACCTTTTCTTAGGGCTAACATTACTGATGAAGATTGCAAATGAAGATATCTAAATATAATTATCTTTAAACCTCCCTTGATAGCTAGATAGCTGTTTTTGTTTCCTATTTGCATTTTGGTAGTGCTGATATATTAAAAATTATCAAATAGTTAATACCAAAACCTTAATGTGTATTCCAGCAAGAAAGTATCCTAGTAAATTATTATAGATCTATATTTTTCTAGGAAATCTCTTAAACCTTATGTTTAAATGCATTAATAAAAAGCTTAGTGTTGAGATTTTACTACAGGAATTAATATGACTGCAGTGGTTGTGTCCTAGATAATCATGTGTTTTAAATTATGAATTATAAAAATATGCCAAATATCACATTAATAAAACCAAGATATGGCTCGGTGTGGTGGCTCAGGCCTGTAATCCCAGCACTTTTGGAGGCCAGGATGGGAAGATAGCATGAGTTCAGGGGTTTGAGACCAGTCTGAGCAACATAGCAAGACACCATCCCTATAAAAAATAAAATTGAAAGAAAACTTGACAAGATATGCCACATTTCCTCCAAAGTGATACCTTGAAACTAAATACAGGTTGGCCCTTAAAGAAGGGTATTTTGTTAATGGAATATGCTATTTATTTAGTCATGCATAAATTACTCCAACTTTCATTAAATTTCATGCGGTAGTATCTGTGTTTATTTGGCAATATTGGTATGCTAGTTACTGAGTGGCTAAGATATTGTCATGTGCATTTGAAATGGTTAAGGTTTGTCAGATCTTTTTCTGATGGGGTGAATGGCGCCAACTAAGTGAGCCTCAGGAAACAGCTTCAGAGTGACGGGGGGATAACCACAGGTGCCTGTCATTTATGGGTCAGGTACTGGTGCCTTCCAATCACTCTTGCCAGCTCAGAAGGAAAGAAAAACTGAGTTGGAGGCCACTTGGAAATTGGAGAATCTGAGCCTGTCACTTTGCACTTCATCCTTGGGTGGGAGATGACAGTCTCTTAGGTCTAACATAACACAGGTGACATGTAGGTAGATAAGATGGCAGCCAGGGCCCTCTGTTGAGCAGAAAGCACACCCAAGTCACATCTGCTCTCCAGAGTCAAGTGGATTTGTCTTAACTCAGGAGAGCTGTGAATCTCCAAATTCTTTGCTACATCTCTAGATTCCTTAAAAACGCAAATCTATGGCTGGGCACAGTGACTCAACGCTGAGTCAGGAGGCTGAGGCAGATGGATCACAAGGTCAGGAGTTCAAGACCAGCCTGCCCAACATGGCGAATCCCCATGTCTACTCAAAGTACAAAATTTAGCTGGGTGTGGTAGCAGGTGCCTGTAATCCCAGCTACTGAGGAGGCTGAGGGAGGGAATTCCTTGAACCCAGGAGGCAGAGGTTGCAGTGAGCTGAGATCTCACCTGGGTGACAGAACAAGACTGTCTTAAAAAAAAATGCGAATCTGTTTTTAAACTTGACTTTTTTCTATTTGAGCTGAGGTCTTGCTATGTTACCTAGGCTGATCTAGATCTCCTGAGCTCAAGAGATCCTCCTGCATCAGCCTCCTGAGTAGCTGGGATTATAGATATGCCCGGCTGCACCCAGCTTTAAATTGGATGGTTCCTGATGATTCTATATTTTCCATATTAATATAAATTTCCTGTCTAAGTTAAAAAGTCTTCTTTAAAAAGAAAGACACATATATCTTTTTGGGAATAAGTTCATGGCATTTTATTTTTGTTAGTCATGAGTTGGATTTTTTTTTTTTTTTTTTTTTTTTTTTTTTTGAGACAGAGTCTCGCTCTGTCACCCAGGTTGGAATGTGGTGGTGCAACCTCTGCTCACTGCAACCTCTGCTCCCGGGTTCAAGCAATTCTCCTGCCTCAGCCTCCTGAGTAGCTGGGATTGCAGGCGTGCACCACCATGCCTGGTAAATTTTTATATTTTTAGTGGAGATGGGGTTTCATCATGTTGGCCAGGATGGTCTCGAACTCCTGACCTTAGGTGATCCACCTGCCTTGGCCTCCCAAAGTGCTGGGATTATAGGTGTGAGCCACCATGCCCGGCTGTGAGTTGGATTTTTACAGGGGAATATTACTTATATCCATAATTTTAATAATGACACAAAACTGAAATAAGACATCTAAAGAAAAAGTAGATCTGGAGGGGAAGACTCTAGAACATTTTGTACAAGTGCTTCTCACTTGAAGAGCCTGCTTCTTGAGCTGTTCTCTGCCCAAATTCAGGAAGATTAGTGTCTGATTTGATAGTTCCACCATGTAATAAATTCACACTTAAAAAATCTAGCAGTCATTTGAAATGCCTTTGTAAATATGAATGATACATGCATTTAATTTTTATGCAAACCTTGAATGCAAATGGTCTCCTTCACTCATTTTAACATGAAATTGATGATATAAATTATGTAAATTTTGAATCCATGAGATTTTCTCATTTATTCCTTGGAACATTAATTAATATACAACTACATTAACACGTAAATCTTAAACACATAAATCTGAACCTAAGCAGGTATGCCATAGATATGGTTTCACTACAGGTGGTACTTGCAAATAAAAGAAGCTGAGTAGAGGCAGGTGATGAACAACATCTAGAATAATTTAGCTCTCTTTAGGAAACGTGAAAAAAGTGAATATGTTCTGTGCTCTATCCACATAGTTTGAAATGCATGCATGTCTGTTAGCTAGGAGAAGTTCAGACATTATGCTAGATGAAACTAACATCTACAATGCTTGGATTTATGAACAATCCTACAGCTTCCTAACCATCTTTATTCCAAGCTATAAAACTTTTATCTTTGTGTAGCTTTTCCTTTTCCAAAAATTTTAAATAAAAGTTATTCTGCAGTTCAAATATGCTTATGCTTAAAGCAGCCTTCCCTGGACCAAGGCATCCTTTCTATAACTTCCTGTTATCAGTGGAAATTCCTCAGTGTCAAGTAATGACCAGGTAACAGCTTCTAGGTGCATAGTTTCCTGGAAGTTGAGCCTCACGTGGGAGTATTTTTCTGATGTGTGGATCTCTGCAGCACGGCAATGTAACAGATGTACGTGGTACCTAGGAATGGCAATCCTTAGTCACATGCACAAACAACAAGAAAACAAAGGATACCCTGTAGGTGCAAAGGAGCACACCTTAACATTTCCATCTGAATATTGCTAACTAAATCTCAGCCTATTAATAATAGACCTCCGGGGCCGGGTGCGGTGGCTCACACCTGTAATCCTAGCACTTTGGGAGGCCGAGGTGGGTGGATCATGAGGTCAAGAGATGGAGACCATCCTGGTCAACATGGTGAAACCCCGCCTCTACTAAAAATACAAAAAATTAGCTGGGCACGGTGGCGCGTGCCTGTAATACCAGCAACTCAGGAGGCTGAGGCAGGAGAATTGCCTGAACCCAGGAGGCGGAGGTTGTGGTGAGCCGAGATCGCGCCATTGCACTCCAGCCTGGGTAACAAGAGCGAAACTCTGTCTCAAAATAATAATAATGATAATAATAATAATAGACCTCCAACTCCTCTTCTTCACCCATCATGTTTCTGTTTCCATTTAATTAATTAATTGATTGATTTTTTTTGAGATGGCGTCTCGCTCTGGTGCCCAGGCTGGAGTGCAATGGTGTAATCTTGGCTCACTACAATCTTTGCCTCCTGAGCTCAAGTGATCCTCCTGCCTCAGCGTCCTGAGTAGCTGGGATTACAGGAGGGCACCACCACGCCTGGCTAATTTTTGTAGTTTTAGTAGAGAGGGGTTTTTGCTATGTTGGCCAGGCTGGTCTCGAATTCCTGACTTCAAGTGATCCGCCCACCTCAGCCTCCCAAAATGCTGGGTTTACAGGCATGAGCTACCACACCCAGATGCTGCTCCCATTTTAAACCAGACCCACGATGGGCCTCCTGTGCCCTTATTTGTTGGTCCATACCGCTAACTACCGCGCTGCATCCGCTTTGCGCTCAGCTTCTCACTCTCACGTGCAAACCCCTCGGCATGCTGTTTTCTACCACTCCGGCTTGGGTCTAATCTAAATGCTGCAGGTGCTGCTGCTGCTTACATCTAAGATATTGGTGGATGTGTCACTGGTGCTTTAGAGTGACTATTTCTTCTGTTAGTTAGAATATTGGCTTCCTGCCACTGAGTTCTAGTATTCTAAAGAGGTGTCAAACATAGTACTAGAATAGCTGTTATTGCTTGGAAACAACAGACTTTTAGCCCTTAGAGTGTATATGTACCCACAGATTAGCTGGGCTTCAGTGATTTCAAGTAATGGCCATTCTACTTCCCTGGAAGCCACCATTTCCCCTCCCACCTGTAGACCTTGTGGCTGACTGTGGCAAGAGTCAGACTCCTTCTTTGAGGCAGCTTTTCTTGACGCAGTTCTCATAGGTCCTCAAATTAGGCTTAGCTCTATTGCCTGAACCTCAATCCTGGCCACCATTAGAGTCCTCTCCCTGTCACCACCTAGATTCCTTAACCCCCATCAAAACCAGTGAGTGCAAACAGACCCATGAAAGTGTCCATGAATAGGGAGGGAGTTTTCAGTCCTACCTTCAAGACTGGAATAGGACTTGTAGCTCAGTCCAGACACCCGGTTACAGATGAAGGAAAACTTCATTTTATCTAAGGCGTTGCAGGGAAGAAAAGACTAAAGGGAAGATCTTGGATTTGCAGGATTTTGTAGGTAGACACGATAAAGAAAGCTTTCTACATAGAAGAAGGTTTGGGCCTTTAAGAACTCAGGTGTGTATGTAGCAAATGGGCATGTTTGGGAAGTCAAAATGAAGCAGGGTGGTCGTCTGGGCTAAATACCTGAGGTCCATCATCTCGTGCCAAGATTAAGGTCATGGACACACACAGGAGTGAATTTAGGAGTGGAGGTTTAATAGACCAAAGTA